TGAAAGGAGTGGAGATCCCTAAGCCCTAACCCTATAGAACCCTAAACCCTATATTCCCCCCCTTTAACGAGTTTAGACTATAGCTCACCTGGCTTCCCATGCAAAACCACGGCTTCAAGATGCTAATCGGAGACTTCCATGTGTACCAGTACCTCCTCCACGGCCTCGGGTCCAACCCACCCGAACAACAAAGACCTCCCCGCAGCATGAGCTCCACAAATAAGATTAGCAATAATAATAAGAATAATCGCAATAGTCATCATAGTAATAAGACAAACATTAACAAAAATAATAGTGAAACATGGCAATAATAATAAGAAGAATAATAATATTGGCACGGTAACCATAGTACTGATAACAGTAACATTGCAATAGAGTCTAAACTCCCAGTATCCCCTTAATAACCCCCTAGTACTGACCTATCTAATCCCCTATAGACCCCTTTGAGCAGTTTAGACTATAGCTCATGTAACAATGAGTGCTTGCCGATGAGCATTCCAGTGGAGTCCAGCCATCTCCTGATAGACTTACTCCAAATCTGCGGCGCTGGAACGAGTGAAGCTTCTTCCACGTTAGTGGGCATACTTTTCTTACTATACTGGTTCTTAGTAATGCTGGAATACAATCCCTTTATAATGGCCACTGTCAATCGCCTGTTTTATGTGAATCAGCTGACGCGAGATGTGTCAGGGCCTTCTCCGCCTCCTGCACTTTTGGAGACTGTCTGCATTAGATGTCCAAGGATACCGAGTAAGACCTGGCCACCGTGCTTTTGAAAGCAGCACCGCTTAAGGATTCTCTTGTGAAGCTGCAGCCTACAGCCACCCAGCTTGCTCTTTGAGGGCGTAGCAGAACCAAGAGCACATCCGGCGGGAACACCTGCATGAATCAGGTTCAAAACCGGACTTGGCAGCTGAAATGCGTACCGATTGAACATGATATGGCGTTTCGGTCTTGGGTCTCTGGACTTGCAAGAAAATGCACGGTCTGTCAAGTTTGGGACTCACGGCTGAAATGCCCGCAGCACAAGCGACACCTGGCGGCTAGGCACTCTGTCTCCGCATTCATCTCGCAAGCATTCCTGCAACATCGCATCTGGAGTGTGGTCACCCCTCTCTCGCAAATGCAAAAGTGTCCAGAGCGGAATGCTGCAGCACATGAAATAACAATTTTCTGAGATCCTGCTGAGGTGGCAGGTCTTGCCGTGGCGCACTCACAGACACGATGGAGCGATTAAAACTGTCGGCCGCTTCACTCAGCAAGGGCGATCATGCAACGCACGTACAGCACTCGGCAGGACGGCTACAATCTGGCGAAGGGCTTGCTGCCTTCACCAGTGGAAGGTGTCCTTGTAAACATTTTCCCACCACCACATTACGCCAATGTCAACTTTCAGCGTCAAGCCACCTTTGCCACGAGCTTCCTGAAATTCTCTCAGGCACTTCTCCGGGGCCGTTTCCTCGCGCTTCCAATAGCAGCCTTTGAAAAAGGCGATTGACTTCCAAGCATCCCGCTTCCACTTGGGATAGCCCTTGTTGTTAATAGCCGGGAGGAGCCTAGCACAGGCTTCCTCATTCTCATACTTTTGGCCTTCGCAATGTGCATGCACAGCACCGGACAATTCGTGTACAGGAACATGGGTAGAAAGCTTTGCACGCGCAACGACCACGTTTAGGGAGAGCGCAAGCGGCACCATCTTGCCGATGAAAGGGTAGTACTGGGTTGAAACGAGAGACATGCATTTTACGCCCAGCCATTCAGCGGCGTTCCCTAGTTGTCCCCCCAGGCAAGCAATGAGGCTCAGGTGGAAATGGAAGCTTGCGAGGAACCCGGCTGCATCATCACAGTTGCCATGACCACCAACTTTGAAGCCCAGCGTCGCCCTGAACTGAACAAACTCATCAGGGTTGAGCGCCGTGCAGAAGTGGCAGTCTCCACTGAGGCATGCCGGCTGATTCATGAAGCCCCTGCCGAACATTGCTCTGATTAACGAGACATCCATTTTTTTCTTGTCAGAGCAAACTCCGGCCACACACATCTTGCAGGCGAAGGCTTTTTTGCAAATCCCGAAAGCGATTCTCTGTTGTTCGGCAAGAGCAACTTGGGAGAGATTCTCGATGGGCTCGGGTAGCTGCAAAGACTGGGCCATCATGTGCTGAGCAGCCTTCCGCATGTCCATCCGTAGCGACTGCGAGGCATTGGCCAACAGGGCTGCCATCTGCCGTGCGACCTGGTTCACGGCAGCTCCATGCTTGGCCTGGCACACTAAGTATGGCTCGTTGCGCTCACACAAGCAAGCCACGTAGTCTTTTACAACTGGGCTGTTCAACGGCGAATCGTCTGGGATTTGCTGCAGCCTCTGGGCATGGTTCACGCACATGGAATCCTTGCTCTCCCCATGTATGGCTTCATGGTGCTTCTCGTCAAGCTTGCTGAGGCGAGCTCGCTGCTTGTCGGTCAGATCCGACCGGGCTGCCTCATGCAGCATCTTGTGAACCGAGGTCTTCAGATGCAAAGTGTGGCTGTCCAGAGCAACTTTCTCGGCCGCGGCCCTGCGTGCATTGTCCTGGTGACGCAGGTGTGCCACAAAGTGATGTGCCAAGCCATTTGCTTCATCGTGCAAAGCCAAGGCGGCCTTGGCATGGAACTCTAGATTGTGCGATAATTGGTGCAGTCTGGATGAATAGGCTTTCATCAGGAAAGCGCTGCCAGCATGCAAGTGGTCAGCTGCCACCAGCTTGTCGACGAAGAAGCTCAAGTTCAGGGTGTCCTCGCCGCACTTATTTTCCATGTAGCCCGCTGTGTCCTCGCCTTGGTTTGCTTGGAACTGGGAAAGGTGGCTCCCGGCCGTCACTGCCTTTTGCAACGTCTCGGACTCAGAGTCTGCCACCTCAGCCGCCTCTGCTTCATCCCCACACTCAATCCCCAAGGTTTCAATCGAATCGTGGTAGTGCTGGAGAGTGACCTCGTCAATCTTCAGACCGCTGAAGACGGT